GGGGGGGGCATGAGGAGGGAGGTTATAGGGTGGAGGGTGAGGGGTGATGGGAAAGGACAGTGGGGGCTCAGAGCGAGGAAATAGCAGCTCGACTCACTCGAAGCAGTAGTACGCATACAGCCAGGATAGAAGGATGAAGTTCAGGCCAGGCCCTGCAAATGGCAGAAATCTCACTGCATAGACCTGTGCACATTGACCCGGCCCCAGATCCCCGCGGATTAAGGTTGACATGACACCCACCACTTACCCTTGCACGTACATGGAGAACCCTCTGCCAAATATCAGCCATCTTTCCCTTCGAGGATAAGGGCAACTTCATCACACAATCCCCACATTATGACCAACTCCCAGTACCATGGGAGAAGAATGCCATCCACTTCCGCATCATCAGATGACAAGCAATAAAAATCATGGACAGAGTAGCTTATATGGACGACCCTGCCCCCCTCCCCTCCCCCCCCCTCCTCCAAAATCACCACCAGAAGGACCAGCAGACATTTTCCGATCCACGATGCCTCGGGAGCAGCACACGCACAAACCCCCATCTAGCAAGCATACCAAATCAATCATCATAAATGATCGTTAGACCCTCCACACACCAAAGCAGGGACATAATTGCAAAATGTCAGAAGACCACACACACAAAAAAAAAAAAGAGAGAGAGAAAGAAAGAATGGCCTGGTCAACCTATCCCATGCACCCTCCCGTCTGAAAATTGTCAGACTGCCAATAGCGCGATAGGACTCTGTTGTTGTTGTTGCTGTCGTTGTCGCTGTTGTCGTTGTTGTTGTTGTTGGTTTACTTTTTTGTTTTTAATTCCCTTTCGCAGGGTCCATGCTAGTAATCAATCTTCTCTGTATCGTTCCAGTTTTGACAGATGTCTCGAAGGACAGGATAGGACACTGGTCCAACGCCGTTGGTCTTCGGGGCTGGAGTAATGATTAATGGAGATGGTTGGGGGAATTCCTGTTCCATTGTTAGAGGTGAAATTCTAGGATGTAATAAGAACAAGAGCATCTCTGTGAACTCAAAAGGCCACACTATACACAGCCTCAAAAAGTGTACCAGTACCACTAACAGCAGCAGGCACATCCCGCCTTGTCTTTCTTGCTGTAGCTGCATTGTAGAGATTGCTGGGGCCTAACCAGTGCCTTCGACCGCCAGTGGCCAGTATATGTGTTGGCCATGACTACCGTCTTCCCCCGAACACAACGCGCCCTCACTATGACTACACCAGACCAGAAAGATAGCTTGCATACATTCATTATCAGGCTGCGTTATGTTCGGGGGAAGACGGTAGTCCCCGGTTAGGTCAGTGTACGGTTCTGTCATGGCTAGGCCCTGGTCAGGCACCAGTGAGACATTGGTCCGGCACTGATCAGGTGCGCTGATTAGATGCTGATGAGGCACTTGTAAACCACCGGTACACCCGGGGCGCGCGGCGCCGCACTGCGCGCCAAGCTTTGATGCACGACCAGCGGCACAGTTTGTTCTTTTTTTGGCTGGCTCTGCCAGCCATTTTGGTCCCGTATTCCGCCAAAGGCCTCCGATTTTCAGGACTAGGTGATGAAGAAGTCTTGCAAATAACCACATACCCACCTAACTGGGGTCATACTACGGCCTAACCATATGTGGGCCTAGTAAGTGCCTAGCCATTTTACTGAATTTGCCAAGAAATGTGACCAAGGACATTCAGAAAAGTAGACGTGTGAGTATTTTATTGACATTCTTGACGATCTTTCTTCAAAGCAGGCAAATCATGGACATCGACTGAAACAGAAGGATTGTGTTTTTTTTTTTTTTTTTTACTTTTTTGAAGTTTTTTCAACTTTTTTTTGTTTTTGGCCTTTTTTGGGGTTTAGGGTTTGGCACTATTCTGGTGAAACGGTTTTCACCTTTTAGCAGTAGCGAATGCATATCCCAGGGCTCGATCCCTAGTTCTCACCTTACCTGTGTACAGTATCTGTGTCAACCCCGAGTGTTTGAACCCGTGACCTGTGTTTTGACAGTTGTGGTTGTCTGTCGTAGGTCTGTGTAGTGGTAGGGGTTCGATCTGTAGGTCTGTTGAGTAGGACTCACAGCCCTGTAGAGGTCGTAGCTATAGGGACCCTGAAAGGTCAAGGTCGTAGCTGCTACAGCCCTGAGAGGTCAAGGTCGTAGCTGCTACCGTACTCGAAAGGTCGTAGCTGCTATCGTACTCGAAAGGCCAAGTCCACGAACTTCCGGAAGGTCCGGAAGTGGCCTTTCGAAGCTGCTCACGTTTGAGACAGATGCAAGTAGGCAAGTGGTGGAGTCTACCCGTGCTGAGTCAGCAGTCCCAGTCCCAGTCCCAGTCAGTCCTAGTCCAGTCCAGCAAGTACCGCACGGGACTGTGTGCACCACGGGCATGGGAAAGGGCCAGACCAACGAGCTACAGAAGTATAAATTGAGGGGCAGCGACCAGCCATTCATTCATTTTCCTGCGTAAGCCATGCGGAAGCGCTGCCATAGCGACTTGTGCGAGGTGGTCTGCAGTGAGCCCGAGGACGAAGTGGGCGAGAAGAAGCTTAGACATAGCGATAGGGTAACAGCGGCCATAGCCGCTATAGCTGTAGATGTGTGCGGGTGTGTGTGAGTGTACAGAGTGTGATGTGTGTGGGATATCCAGGGTGATCCTGTGTGCGAACAGCAGTGTCGAGTGAGTGATGAATAGAGAGTTGTACAGGCGATGTGCCGCCATAGCCAGTTGAAGTGAACTTGTATCTAAGCTGCATTCTGGGTTACCATATCTCTGAGTTCTGAGGGGGCATGTGACGCCAGTTTGCTGCGCAATCTGTTTGCATGCATCTGAAGTGCGAATGAAAGCGAGTCCGATTGCACTGGACCCTTGGCTCGACAAATTTGACGCAGGCACTTCTGGGACCAGAACCCACTACCGTCTTCCCCCGAACACAACGCACCCTCATCTTGCCTGTACCGGACCGGAAATATAGCTTGCATACGTTCAATTTCAGGGTGTGTATGTTCGGGGGAAGACGGTAGGCGTCGATGGGAAAGACAACTAGATCAAGAGCCTCCTGAATCAAGATGGGTTTCAAGTAGATGCAGAAAAGCAGATGAATCCCCATTTTCTGCACCTGTCCGCAAACACACCCAGATTCAGGTGCTTAATCCAATCCACTACGCTTGTGGGACTTCGCCCCCTGATGTTGTATGTTTCTAGATAAATAGATACACACTAGATGACCCACTAGATGACCCGTTGCAGCTTCGCCCGCAAAAACAGAAAACTAAAAAGCACAAAAGAAAGAAAAAGCATAAGGAACTGCCCTATCATATGCTGCTTCTTTCACAAAAACAAAAAGAAGAACCTGAGAGCATACAGAAATCCGCGTGCAAGAAATAGGAGGGAATACCCACCGAACTTTTTTTGTTTCTTATCTGCGAGTGTTTTGTTTGGGAAGCCGCTGCCTTTGCAGCATCGTTTTTCTTTGGTGCTGTGCAAGAACTGTGAACTTTTATGAGAAAATCCTGCCCATAGTCCCGTTGACGTTTTTGCTAAAGATTCCGATTCAGACTTTTGTTTTCTCTGGTCTCTGAATATGTTTGTGATAGAGCGATCTTGCACGTATGCCTCCTGCTTACTTGCCAAGTCTTGACTCTCTTGACTCTATGTGCGCAAGTGCATGCGCGTGTGGGTGAGTTCTCTCAGGTTTGCGATCAATCGATCTTGCATGTATCCCTCTTCCCCGGGCCAACCATCAATGACATGCGCTTGTTGTTGAGTTGGTGGGGTCGGATGATGTCATTGATGATTG